GAGCTTGAGTCTCAGGATCATGGTTAGGGCGCGTATATCGCCTAGGATGAATAACTGGACATAGGTGTTGTTCCCTGGTAGGTCTAGGTACTCATGCCCACCTTAGGGTGTGTATTCGCATGTTGCCTTCTATTCAGGCTGAGACAGACCTACTGGACTAGCGAGCGTCCTATAGTGTGTACTATATATACATATATGGACTACTCTAGATATTGTTGAGTCTTTCTAGGATGTATCTGCGTATCGGATTACTGTTTGGATCGTAATAGATCAGGACTTGCATGTGGGTCTGACCCACTCTATTATTTTTCAGGTGTTTGACAGTACCAGGCTTAGAGCTTGATCGTGTTGATGCAGATACAGATATTCACTCTTCCGGTTACATATGATTTCCTTTCTACTTTAATTTTGGATTTTAATTATGTAAATTTATTCAAGGTTTTGGGATTAGGGGTCCACTAGGTAGATTCCCGAGTTGTACAGTTTAAAATTATATTAATTTATTATTTCAAGTTTGAGGATTCTTATTTTAGTTTTTTTTCAGCGTATTATTATTAAGGTTTTTTTTTTTTTTTTTTTTTTTTTTTTTTTTTTTTTTTTTAACTCAGTTTTTATTTTCTGCTTGTTAACATATTAATTGTTTGGTATCCCTCGGATCTGTGCTCGGACTTGATCAGCCGTGGCTCTAGAATCGAGGGGTATCACAAAAATGGTGTCCCATTATTTGTTAAGATCATCTTAGGTATATCAAAGCGGCAAATGATATTTGTCCTAATAAATTCACATACATTTGCAGCGATTATGTTCTTTAATGGAATAGCTTCCACTCATTTGGTAAATAGCTCTGTTGCGACTGACACCCATTCATGTCCTTTGGATTGAGGCGTGATAGGTCCTATTATGTCCATTGCCCATGTGTGGAAGGGCTATAACGTCACAAAGCTATGGAGCTCTATAGAGGGGGCATGCACGAGATTTCCACGAAGTTGGCATTTCAAACATTTTTCGCAAATAATTTCTTGCATCCGACTCTATTGTGGGCCAATATTACCCGAGACTAATGAGTTGTTGATAATTGATTATGCCACTTGATGGCCATGCTCATGTACCTCTTTGAGAGCTTCTTGTACTTTTTTTAAACTAAGGCATTTTAAGGGTTTCCCATCAAAACCTTTCCTATACAAACTTCCTTTATATTTAAGACTAAGGCACGCCTTCTTACTATTGCAGCTTGGATATTATCACCGGGAAGAGTTGTGTACCTAAGGAAATCCAGATGTTTGACCCTCCAATCTTCTTCTTCCACAATATTACATTCGACTTTATCAGGGTACTGTTAACACTTCATGCATTCTTGTTGTAATGCCGCGGCATCTTGCTTCATATCTGGCCAATAATACCCTTAACGTTGTAATCTCCTTTACAAACTAATATATCCTTCCCTACATGCGAAGTCATGGATTTAGTAAAGTCTTTCAGCTACTTCTTTTTCACCCACATATCGCACTAGTATACCCTTTGCACCCCGGTGATGAAGTATACCCCCAATAGTTGGAATTTACTGCCCTTGGGTATTGCCCGAGTCCTTTGACTACCTTTTAGCTCTTTAATTATGACTGATCTCCAATCCTTTTCGTCATGTCTAGGAAAGAAAGACAAGGTAGTGGATGAAATTGTCCTTTCTATCACTTCTATCTTAACTTGTTTATCTGTCATTGCCATCCACGATCCCAAGGTTGCGAGGGCATCTGACTGCTGATTCGCAATTGTTAGAGTATGTTCGAAAGAGATTTGTTCAAACCCTTCCAAGAGTTGTTAAACCCTTATTTTATATGGCATGAGATTAGGCTTTTTCATCGTATACTCACCTGTTGGTTGTTTAATTACCAACTTTGAATCTCCATGGACCTTTACTCTTCGTATTCTTACATCTGAACAAGCCAAGAGTCCGAGGATAAGAGCTTCATACTCTGCTTCATTATTTGACCATTTGAAGTTCAGTTTATAAGACAAATTAATTTGTTCCCCTGTTGAGGTATTTTCCAAAACTACACCCACTCCTGTCATGGTTGCGTCATCAAAGCTGAGAAACCATTTATCATTCGTCATGGCTGGACAAGCCTCTTGAGCCAAGAGCTTATCTGTTGGCTCGTGCTCTCTTTGAGGAAACATAACAAGGAGATCAGCGAGAGCTTGGCTCTTTACGGCTCTAGGTCGCAAATAAACAATCTCAAACTTAGTAAGGGAGAAAAACCATCGTCGAGTCTTCCAAGTGAGAGCAGGTCTGGTGAACAAATACTTTATGGGATCACACTTTGTGACAAGTTCCAGAGGGTGTGCTAAGAGGTAATGTCTAAATTTTTGGATGGCAAATGCGAGAGCTAAACAGTGTTTTTCCAGTGCCGTATATCTGGGCTCCGCCCCTCTTAATACGCGACTAATATAATGTACTGGTTTTTTAGTTCCATCAACATCTTGTGCAAGTAATGCACCAATAGAGCGACTGGTGGAAATCAAGTATAATAACAATGTTCATCCTGGTATAGGTGCGACCATTGTTTTAGGTGATGCCAACACCGCCTTAATTTTGTCAAATGCCTCCTGTATAGTTGGCTCCCATTGAAAAGGGATACTTTCCTTGAGTAATATTAGGCAACAAAGGCTGACTAACTTCTGCAAGTGCTAGAATAAATCGCCTCAAGTATGAGATTTTTCCCATTAAACCCCTTATTTCCTTCCTTAAATTTGGTGACCTCATTTTAATTATTGCTTTAGCCTTTGTTGGATCTGGATCAATCCTTTGCTGATACACTACACACCTTAAAAACTTTCCGGAGGTTACGCCAAAAGCGCACTTCATGGGGTTCATCCTCAGATTATACTTCCTATATCTATTGAACACCTTTTGCTAGTCTCCGAGATGATCCTATTCCTTTTTTGATTTAACAACTAGATCATCTACAGTTTTTATCCAGGATCTATCTTGATAAGTCATGATGGCATTAGGTACCTAGGAGGTCAAATCCCTCCTTTATTCCAAGTGTCCCAACGGTTAGTTGTGAGTGCTTTGAGGAAATCCTACTTATATATCGTTTTGTACTTAAGAACTCGAGTTCAAGATCGATGATTGTTATTTAATGTTTCAATGACCTAGTATGTCACTAGGTTTCGATTAGACTTGAGAATTAATATATTGTGAAGTTCGATGACTTTGCAAGGTACCAAGGTTTTGCTTATGCTCAAGATATGTGATCTCGATATTTAATGATCTGATACTGTTTCAGGGTTTTGATTAGGTTCGAAAATTGTAATTTCAAAGTAGAATGACCTGATCATATAGTACTAAGGTTTGCTTCGAGCTTAAGGATTATATCCTTGAGCTTTGATGATTTGCTATGACGTCAAGATTTTCTTAACATCAATTTGAGGTTTGTGCTCGAGTTCAGATCACCAACCGAAGAGCCGTGGCTTTTCTCTTGACTTTTCAACGTGCGTTGTAGGTGCCATCGTTGGTTGTGACCGAGTGCCATGTAACTCGTGGTTGATTTTTCAACTAGCTATATTAAGGGCGGATTGAGCCCACCCCAATTTTTATTTATTTATTTATTATTTATTTATTATTATATATATTTTTTACTATATGTAATTTTAGCCTAGCCAAAAAAAAAATAAAAATAAAAATAAAAATTATTACTATTATTAGCCCACCCCAAAAAATATTAGTTCATCTCATTAACAATTCTTAGATCCGCCCTTGACTATATACACCTAACTTGACTAGGTGCACCTACATTGTTCAACGTATGTGTGCTCTGTTTGGGGGAGCTCCTTGATTTTCAAATTCCTTCCACTTAGTGGGCTTTGCAAAATGCATTTTAATGGAAGGAATTCAAAGAAAAAAGTTGTTTGGTAGATGTATTTAAAAAAAAATTCTTTTAACCAACCACAATTTTACATGACAATTTTATCCTTAATTATCATGAATAGTACAAATGTGATAGCATAGTTGAATTAATCGGGATTTAGCAAGAAAAAAAAAATAAAAAAAAAAGATAATTAGAGTAATGGAGTGAAAATCAGAGATGATGGAGCAATAATTAATTGGCACATCAATGTTATTCAGACTTTTATTGTAGATACATGGTTGAGAAAGTGAAGATCACCATTACTGACAAAGTGAAGATCAATATATACATATCAATAGAAGTTGAAGGGAAAAAAACATAAAACTGTGAGAGAAATTGTAGCAGTTTAGTATAATTATTCAGACTCAATTTCATTCTTATTTATACATATATTAAAACCCTAACTTGATACTTAAAACAAAAGGGAGGTCTTAAAAAAATTCTCTCTCTCTATATATATATATATTGAGAATTCTATAGAGAGTTGAACTTTTTTGGATGAGAATTCAAACATCTTTATAACTCTTTTGCTCCTCAGTTTTTGAAATCAAATGGAAATCAATTGAAATATTATTCTGCAAATCCTCCACGTCTTAGATTAAATGGAAATCAATAGGAAATTATTTCTGCAAATCCTCCACGTCTTGTGTTCTTTCCTTTTAAAATAAGGATAAAATTGTAACTAAAATTTGTTACTTAAAATTAGCCCGACTTTCTTAGAAATAAGTTCCAAAGCAAGTTTTTCGAGCTTTGTTTAAACGGATTTTTTTAGGACTTTGAGGTTTGTTGCAATTCCTTTTATCTTAATTAACCAAACACTCATATTTTTTTTAAAAGGACTTCATAGGCTTGGAAGCCCGTTTGAAGCCATCAGAAAGCTCAGCCAAATAGGCTCTAAATCAGTGTAATATCAACTTTCACAAAAGTTGCTTTGAGTTCAAAAAAAAAAATAAAAATAAAATAATATATATATATATATGTATATATATTTATATATAATGAGAGGAAAAAAAGATGCGTTTGTATATATAATTGGCCATTTGGCCGCGGTTATTAGTAATTATTTTTGTATATATATATATATATATATATATTTTTTTTTTTTCCTATTTTTCATTTCTATAACTCTATCTATATATATTATTCTCTTTCATCATTGTTTGCTCATTTCAGTGTTATTATGTTATAACGAGACAAAGCTTTCAAATCCTTCTCTTGTCAAAAACAGTTCGCACTACACTTGGCTTACGCGTCCTTTCCATTTCCATAAACCCTAAAGATTCTCTCCGCGTCGCCGGAATAAATTCACTCCAACCCCTCTCCTCGTTGTATGTAGTGTATATTCAGCTGAATATATAAATATATATATATATATATATAGATCGCCGCCGGAATTATGGACGACAAGGAGAGAATTGATCCAACGACCGACTTCTCAGCCGATGCGAGCTGGACACTCGGTGGTGACTCGGACAGCGTTTACTTCTTCGGAAGCGATACAGATGGCTGCGTACTGAGCGAATTCCGATGGAATCTTCAGCCGCAGATGGCTGTGGATCGGATCGGCCTCGACGATACGCCCGATTTGGCGGGAAACCAACAGTTTTTGCCGGAAAGCGGTGCGGCTCAGTGTGCTGCTGCTCCGACGGCTCAAGACGGTCCTGTCGGCGATGCTTCGGCCTCGAATCCGTCGGTGTGTTCCGGTTCTTCGGACGATCCGCCGGAGAGCTCCACCGCTTCCGGCGGGAAACAATCGCCAAAGACAGCGTGAGTATGATGCGTCGTCGTGTCAAAAAGGCTAAAATCGTAATACAGACCAAACAATTGCTTTGTTAAGAAGGAAAGCCATTCCGTGTCAGTAGGGAGTGGGAGGCATTTTTGTCATTAACAAAAATTTTGGGGTCCGGTAAAGCAAATTCACCAAAATAGAAGGGCTATTCCTTATTTTTATTCTACCGCTGAATGCATGATACCCGCCGTTTTTTCGGCGGATATGGCGTCATATAAGAGTATGAAAAAACAGAGAATATATATATACACACACACTATAAAATTCACTTTTTTCTTCAGCTCTACATGCAATACTTTTGGCATCTACATTATTTAGTTGTTTTTGTTATATTTTGGTTAAATTCTCTTTTTTGGTAGAATTTATTCTTTTTCTTCACTATGATATACAAATATATATACACATATATTATATATGTATGTATTTGTAAGTCGATTAATTGCTTGACATAATGCTTCTTGGTGAATGGTGATATGTGATAGGTAGGTTTATTCATTATTATGTTGTCACTTCATAATTTAAGTGGCTTTGATTAATCTGTTTTAATACGGACCCTCATTTGAATAAGGAAAAAAAAAAAGAAAAAAGAAAAAAATGGATTTTGAAATTGTTCATATATATATATATATATATATATATATATATAGATATATATATATATATTATTTTCCGTTTTGATTTTCTTCTTCTCTACTATTATAGGAATCAGCTTTCAAATGTGTATTTATATATACTTCAATTATTTCAAACCGACTCCTTAGCAACTAAAGTAGTGCAGTACGAGCATCTTATGGCAGCCTCTCTTTCTTTAGCATTTCATGTAGTAAGACAATATTATTCTTTTTCATTTAAATTTTTTTTTTTTTTTTTTAAATATTTGAAGGTAAGATTATATATATATATATATATACATCCTTACAATTAATGGAAGCAACGTGTTTCCAGAAAAAGAAAAATGGAGGCATTAGGAACATATATAAATGGTGTCATTAATTGCAAAAAAATAAAAAATAAAAAAGTTATAAGGTGTAGTTAAGATATATTTTTAAACACTTTAATATCAATATATATATATATAGCCTTTTTGGATTAATAGAATTCAACTTATCTACCAAAAAACAACTTCTAATGAATTCATTTATTGATTTTTTTATACTATATATGGACATAGCTTTAATTTATTTTATTTTTATGTGTTTGTTAGAAACTTGATTTCACACTGATAACCATAGGTGGACTGTGTATTTTGTAGGAGCAAGGTTAAAGTGAAGGGGGAAAAGCGAATACGGCAGCCACGTTTTGCATTCATGACTAAGAGTGAAGTAGATAACCTTGAAGATGGTTACAGATGGCGTAAATATGGACAAAAGGCTGTAAAAAACAGTCCATTTCCAAGGTCTGTATTCACTTCTGTTCAAAATTATTTTTTTTTAAAAAAAAAGGAAAGAAAGAAAAGAAATTGCCAAATTTTTATTTTAAGATTTACAGTAATCCCTTTTTGCTTTTGAAATCTTTCAAATTAACGAAAAATGTTGTGATTCGATTTTTTCGTTCTAACCTGTCTCACCATTTTTGTAGAGGTTTATGTGTTATAGCTTACTCTATATATACATTTTATCCTTCTTTTTTCTACTTTTTTTGGGACAACATTACCATTTTTTTCTTAGTATGCATGAGATTTTCTTTTTTTTTTTTGGAATTTCAACCAATATCATTTACGGTTTCCAAATGCTGAAAATCATCAAAAAAAAAAAAAAAAAAAAAAATTAAGTTTCATTGTATTTTTTGTTAAATTCTTATTCTTTGTCTTGTATTCAATTTCCTTTGGTAGTTGCTATATTATAGGAGGAAATAGCCCCTCCCCTTTCAAATTTTCTTTATTAATTTAAAAGTTCAGCCTTTTATGTCAAATTTTGAGGCTTTTTTAAAAATATTTTTTTTAGTTAATTAGAATTTTTTTTTTTTGTAAATGATGCCTTAAAGAATTAAGTATGATCACAAGTTTATTAGTTGTGGAGGAAATTTAATTATTCTAAATTACCTGGTTAATTAATTATTGGCAACTACTCTACAATATAGAAAAAAAAAAATACAATAATTTTGAGCACATTCTCCCCCATATTTTTGCAGGAGCTACTATCGTTGTACAAACAGCAAATGCACGGTGAAGAAGAGAGTCGAACGCTCATCTGATGATCCCACCACTGTAATCACAACGTACGAAGGCCAGCATTGTCATCTCACGGCCGGATTTTCCAGAGTTGGACATAGTCTTAGTCATGAAGCTGCCGCCTTTGCGGGCCAGTTTAGTACTCCAGTCCCACACTACTTTTGCTATCCGAAAATCCAGTTTCCTCAAGAATGTTGTCATACAATATCACAAGCACACCAAGTCCCGGTCGAAGCAGGAGAATCTTGTGCATTGCCTGAGCCAGCCCCACAAGTCCCCACTGATGAAGGATTGCTTGGGGACATGGTACCACCTGGAATCCGCAACCGATGAAAAGATGGTATATACATTTGCCCATTTACGTAGATTTTAAATATTTTTGCTTAAATTTTTTGGTAAGTAAGTTGATTGTAATTTAGTCTCGCGAAAAGAAAAAAAAAAGGGTTGATTTTAATTTTGGATTATGGTATTTTATTAATCACATAACAATTTATATTGTTTTCTTCAACAATATTGTTTTGAATTTATAGGTGGTACATATGCACAGAATGAGAGTAGTATCGACAGTGTTTAGAATAATAAAACCTAGTGGGATGGATTAATGTCTAGGGGAGATTTTTTAACATATTAAAAATATATGTCAACAATTTCATTTATCTGATTGTGTTTGGTTAGATGGAAAATGAAAGTGATTATAGAAAGAAAATTTTACAGTAGCAGCAGAAAATTAAGCTCCTTCTGAGTTGAGTGATTTCATTGTGAAATAATTAATGAATAGGTAATAAAAGTACCAACTTGGTAGGCCAATGTATTGGTTGTGATGTTTACTGTTTACTTGTATCTGTGGTCATGCATAGTAGTACTTTATCAACACCATGTAGTTTTTATTGGTTGAAAACTTATCCACTGCTGTTATTATTTCCAATTTAGTGCTTCTTTGGACCATATTTTTGCTAACTTTGTCTGCATTCTTCTCAAGTATTTGAACAACCTTTTGTACAAAAGAACTATATGAAGATCGGAAATGATTGAAGGTGGACCAGAGTGAATATACATACATATATATATATATACATACATATATATATATATATACATACATATATATATATATATATATATATCTCAATTGAGCATCTATTCTCAATCTCCAACATTGGCCCTCAACCTAGCCCTTCCAAAGTGTAGGTGGTACTTATAACTTGAATCAAATGTAGAATTACTTGCTTATATAGTCAAATTGGACCAGATTTAGTATTTTATGTAAAAGTTTACCACAAAGTCCACTTACAAGTCAAGTCACTTTTCCATGAATTGCTTCCAACCACACCTTTTTTTGGTGGGTTGCTTATGTCCTAAGGGATTCAACTAGCTTTCTGACACAAATCCAGTTTGTGTGTGAATGTGTGTGTTTTTTGTTTTGCGTTCTAGAGATCACTTGATCATTTGTAATGCATATACATCACTTTTTTGACCACATCAACCTTTTTTTGGAGGGTTGCTTATGTCCTAAGGGATTCAACTCCTCACACAAATCCAGTTTGTGTGTGAATGTGAGTGTTTTTTGTTTTGGGTTCTAGAGATGACTTGATCATTTGTAATGCATATATATCACTTTTTTGACCACATCAATGGCCGATGCTTGACAGAAAGCTCATCACCATTGGAGTAGTATCTCTTCTTAATGATAGCAATGTCCAAATTAAAGAAACACGCACAAACACACAGTGGTGGTACTCTCTGTGCTGGTTGAGCTTCTGTTCCTTCAATCAATGTCTGATTTTTGTATAGCTCTTGTAGCTTCTTTTTCATTTTGCTCAGCTTTCACTACCTCTGCCAAATAAGAAAGGCTAGCCCAGTGCACGAGACTCCCGACATTACCTTTTCTTGTTAGCTAGTGTAGTCTTCTAGTACTGTTTGACTATTTAGCCTGATTTGTACATTTTTACACTATATATACAATTCACCTTCACCCAAAAACTTCAGTAATATGTTCCCAATGAGATCTTTCACACACACACAGAAGCAACTTAGAGTGGAATAAACTCTATCTCTCACACACACACACTTACTATTAGGGGAAGATAAAGATAAAGATCAAACAAGGATCCCGCCACTCCTAGCAAAGGAAAGGAAAGGAAAAGCTTTCCTTCTTATTTTTCCGTTTTCTTTTCGGGTCCTATCGAATAAAGAACAAATCAAATCCTAAAATATTGAATTCTCATGTTGTATGTTAGCAGTATAACATGAGCACCCATATATGTTTTGGTGCCCCTAATAGGCTGCAAAACACTATCTGTAACCGTGCTAAAACTGAATATCATTGTAGGAGGTTAAAATTAATATTTAGCTTTCATTTGTGTGAATGTATGGAATATCATTTTTCAGTAAGAAAAAACTAAAATCTATATTGCAGCAAGGACGCAGCCACCATCATTTTTGCAATGAAATATATCTTCTTTCACGTGCACAACAATTGTGATCGATTTTATCTTGTGAAATTGAATTTGATTCCCTTTAATGCACTAAGGTGGGTTGGACCTTTTAAGACTCTTAGAGAGAATATCATCATTTTTATCTCGTGCTATAGAATAAAGTAGGCCGCATGATCATTCCTTGGATTTCACGCGTTATTACGTATTGCCAAGTTGCATTAACTTTAGCTCCTGGACCCTAGTACAGAATCTAATATATATATATATATATATATATATATATATATATATATATATTCACCTTTATACAATCATTTGAATATATCTCATACTTTGTTTGGTCTGTTGAATACTTGATATTGCACAGGCCATGAAGAAGATGATATATATATATATATGCATGGTAAAATCAGTGAGTATTATTTTATGATGACAATTTTTTGATTCCTGGAAGTTAGTTTCTTCTTCTTGTTTTTATACTGCATTAAAACCTTTCCATTTGTATATAGTGGTTAACCAGTCTCACATACAGATTTAATATATAGGTCTGATAGTGAAGGGTCACATGGACGCCTCTCTTGTATTGGGAGCTGAGATTTATCTGAACTATGATGTATGCAAAATATATATATATATATATATATATATATATATATACATACTTGGTTTCGTAATACTTGCCTATTTCAAAAAGTGACTCACAAACAGTTTTCAAAATGGACTTAAATAAGTTTTAATTGAATAGGTTGACTCCGGTAGTTCGGTGGATAAATCACTTGAGTCGGGTGCATCCTGGAGTATTAGATCTAAGATTTGATTATCCTTTTACAAATAATTCCAAACGTCCAAGGTTTCCCAGACCTGCTTTCAAAAATAAATAAATAAGTTTTTTAATTCTTTCATATTCCAATAATATTGGTTACTATAGGTGTACATGTGTATATATATATATATTTTCTGTATATATATGTGCTGTCCACAGCAAAAATACAAATGAGAGAGGGCCTTTGGTTCATTTCAATCATTTCATGGTTAATGAAAGATCACATCAATGAACTGTTGTACTTGAAGAGATTAGATTCCATTAATTACCAAACGTTGCATGTGTTGTCAAATTTATTATTGCACAACAACTAAGTGATACCGAGTAAAATGATATCTAAATTCAAAAAAGGATTCATTTAGGGATTTAATTCTTTAGGGGTGTACAAAAAGAATTGTGAAATCATGAGAAATCTTTGATTTTGGTTCTCACGATTCTGATTCTGTTTCTGATTTCGAATTTAAGAACCATGGACATACGATTTCGATTCTGATTTCAGTTCGTGAGAACCGGTAAAAGCCGGAACTATATATATATATATATATATATATATATTATATTTAATTATATAAAGTAACAATACTAACTTAACAGTCTAAAAATGCAACTAAAAGAAAACGTGAAAAACTAAAAACGGTAAACACTCATCAGGTAGCCACGTGGTCCTAAGCTAATCACAAAAGAGAAAGTGAAAAACTTAAAACATTCAGACTTTAGTCCTTGCCTCGACGCCTCTAGCCTCCTCTCATCTAAACCTAAACCCTCGCCTCCTCTCAACGGTCATCGCCCTCGCCTCCTCTCAAGCTTCAGACTTCAGTCCTCGCCGACTCCTACATCTTTAGATCGATCTTTAAATCTTCTCATCCTCTCTTCTCAAATAGTTTTTAGGATGTAATATTATAGACTTAAGTATCAGTTTTATTTTATGTTTTATGTATTCTGTATTTATTTATATTTATATTTTTGTTATTGTATTCTGTTAACTAATGGAAGTATGGAACACTGTTACAATACTGAACATTGAACAAGGGAAACAGTTACAACACTACAGTCTGTACAGGGGAAAAAAAAAATTCAAACTATTAACAGTCGGTTCCATGGAACCGAACTGGTATTCACGGTTCATTTCCGGTTCGGTTCCACCCTATACGATTCTGGTTCCAGTTCTAATATTAAAGAACCGCTGTAAACAGTTCCGGTACGGAAATGAACCATGTGCACCCCTACAATTCTTACCATCTTTTTTTGTTCTTTTCTTGTCAGATAACTCGCATAGCCACTTTGTTTAGGAATTTAATTGCAAACATTATAATAATAATTGATATGGTCTTGAAAATTCTCGTGAAATGTTTGGAAGCATGAATTGGGGTTTGAATTTAAAATTGAGAGAAATTTAGTTAACATTTTAAATTAAATTATTTTCAACACGGCACCAACTCCATACTCCCAAATACAACGTAGAAGCTTTGTTTGGATTGAGTACTTTTGAGGGATTTGAGAAATGATAGTAAAAATCGTGTTTGGATAACTTTTTTAGTGGTGAGGAAAGAAAAGATTGTGAGAGATATAAAGAATAGCTATCCCTCGGAATCTCTCGTGCTATCCTCCAAAAAATGAGAAAATTTAGAGAGAAATGATAGTGAATAAGTAATATTTTATAATTTCAAAACTACCCTATTATAACATTTGACTCTCATCTTATAACATTTTATAAAAATGTTATGATAGTAATTTAATTCTTATAATTTCTTTTCTTTTCTCTCTTATAATTTATTCTCTCTCATAATTTATCCAAACATGAATAAAGAATATTGCTATTAATTTTTTTTCTTTTCTATAAAAAGAACCATGCTTACCTCAGACCGCATAAGAAGGAAACCTCCTTCTTATGATGAGGTGGCCTGATAAAATATCAACAAATATTAAAGTTTTAAAAGAAAAGAAAATGATGACTACTAGGAATAGTAACCGATCATTCCCCTCTTTTTCTCTCACGCAGCGATATATATTACTTCTATGTTTTGAATCTTCTCTTTTACTGAGACTATTTGCTGAAAGCTTGAAACCGAATTTAAAATCAAACAATGTTTTTCGCTTTAGTGAATCTGACCATGTGAGTTGTGAGTTGAATTGTTTAATTGCGATATCTTCGTCTCAGGACAAGTAGTTTACTGTTCCACCGCCAGCAGCCTTTGAGTCCATACTCCTCCACATTGATGTCGTCGACAGTGGTGGTGGTGGGCTAATGCTTCACTCTTGTTCGTCTTCAGTGATGTCGTTTTATGGCTTCGACAATGGATTCAACTCCAGATCCATGACGCCAAGTTAGAATTTGGAACGATTCTATGGAGCTCGTACACCGATGGCTTTCCCGTTGGAGGAGGAGCTGATTGAATAGCCTATAGATACTTCTTGAAGTTTTTATTCCCTGTAGTCATCATTTTCTTTTCTTTTACAACTTTAACACCTGTTGATATTTTATTGGGCCACCTCATCATAAGGATGAGGTTCCATCTTATGTGACCTGAGGTAAGCATTGTTCTATAACTAATAATATCATTTCTTCTTTTTCTTCTCTCATGTCTATCCAAACGAAGCCCTAGATAATTTCTTTCTGAGTTGGCACATGTATTTTTACTCGTATTCACTTGATGCGATCCCCGCCTTTCTACATTACTTCCTCAACTAATCCTTTGTTGAGAAATCTCATTGCCAATATCACTGTGATGTCCCGAAGAAATTATTAGATGGTAGTGGACTAGTTAAATACAAATTATCAGATTGAAAAAATGACTCCACAAAATTATATTAATATATTTCAAAGTGTCATAATCGAAGACTTTCATTAAATCAGTTCACCAAATATCAAATAAATCATGACCATTTAATAAAATCTCCTCTTTAATATATATTTGTCACCTTCTATCGCATTTATTTGTTAGTTAATTAAAATTTTCACCTTGAAATTCCACCACACAATAGGTCATGAAGACTTAATTAACCCAGCATTATTGATTACGAGGAACATGTAATCAGGGTTTTCCACCCAGAAAATTAGCTGGACCTGACGTTGGCTTGTGGGCCCATAAAATTTCCAACCAGAGGTGGTCCCACAGAACACTGTCAATCTCAAGGCCGTTAGTCCATCTCAATCACTTCCATTAATTAGCAGTGTTTCCTCTGGCCCACTACCTGATCCAGGAACTAGTTAGTTGGGCTCATTTTATCTTTAATTTCCTTTTCTTTTTTATTTTTGAATAATAGTAGGAAATTACAAGTTACAACATGGTAATATAAATTAGTGAGTTGTCTTATTTTTGGGCTCCAAGTCATTATTCTTTAATACTCTTATTCTTTATTTTTTTTTTATTCCGGTAAAACGAACCAACTACTTTTTCAAAAGAATAATTAATTAATTGAAACAAGTGAGGGATAAATTTTTTTTTAAGAATTACCTTATTTATTCTATTTTATGGGACTAATAGTTGTCTTAATACCTATTGTTTGCCTTCCTCGTTATTTGACTTGTTTGCTTTTTGGATGGCGCGCAAACTAGCGAGTATAACTTTATTGGGCCGAAACTGGACACTAGTTGGGCCCTATTAGTGGCCTAACTTTGACGGGTAATAACTTTAGGTCCAGGCCCAGGCAATCCATAATCTATCTCCAAATTCAAAGCCCAATCTATGTCCAGCCATTAAACAGCACTAAAAAGTGTTGACAGATAGTCACAGAAGTAGGTTGGGTAATATATTAGATGAGGATGCTTGAAAAACACTAATTTGAATAAGAAAAGGTTTGGAACCATCGAATCCGCAATTTAAATTTAGAATTAAAAGAAATTTAGCTTAAATGCTCCTAAACGCTATGATATCGATTGGAGTCCAGATCCTCTACTAGTGTTTTATAATGTATTTAAATCACGTGTCAATACACATTTGTTATATATTTCAACACAATTTTAACTCAGAACAAATGTATTCAACTATGATTTAAGTGTGTTGAAAATAGACATAATGTTATTGAAAAGAGATTTCATAAAAACTTAAATTATGTTTTAATACATTTGTTCTATATTTCAACACACGTCTTAATATCCCGAATAAATTTGTTGAAATTCAGAACAACTATATTGAAATTTTTTACAGCAGGGATGTGTTACAGTAAAGGAACAAGACACTACTGACACTGACTAATACGACAATCATTGATATAAACAATCTAAGAAGATATTATGTTATAGCTGAGGAAACAAGACACTACTTATTGATATACCAATCATTGACATAAACAATCAAAGAGAAGAAAAACTTGGTTGCGTTTGTTGCACAGTGTGTTACAGCAGAGGAAACAAGATATTACTGATTGATATATCAATCATTGACATAAACTCTCAAAGAGGAGAAAAACTTGGTTTCGCCCGTTACACAGTGTGTTATAGTAGAGGAAACAAGACACTACTAATTAATATAGCAATCATTGACATAAACACTCAAAGAGGAGAAAAACTTGGTTGTGCCCATTGCATTGTACAATTGGCGTATCGGACCGTTCATTACTGCGCGTGTATTACACGAATAGTTTCGATGCTCCAGTTGCACGGTGCAAGAGCGCAACCAAAATTTTCTCCTCAAAGAGGAGAGAGACTTTGTCATGTTAATTACTGAATTACAATCTTTGTTAAAAACTATCTAATCAATCGAGTATTGTACCATTACATTTTTTTTACATAGATTTAAGTAACAATACTTTTTAGACATAGATTTAATAAGACTCGATCTTTGATATTATTTTGAGCTGACTAGAAAAATTGAACACAAAATTTTTATACTTTTTAGACACAGATTTAATAAGACTCGATCTTTGATATTATTTTGAGCTGACTAGAAAAAATTGAACACAAAATTTTTAATATTGTTTTGCGCAAAGTGCGAGTGAGAAAAATATCCAAAGTATGAGTTTATTATATTCTCAGAACTTGAATTTTTGAATGATAGATATAAACACTTTTATATGCTCACCTTTATGATGAAATTGGTGCCATAGCTTATTTTTAACATTAGTGTAGTGGTAAGGCAAAAGAATCACCAAGTGAAGATATGAGCAAATATTTTACCCTCCCCTTTTTACCCTTTTTACCAATTGCACTCCTTTTTCTTATAATATTTTTCTTTGCATAAATGACATATGTGCCCCTGATTCTTGATTTTTCTGTTTTTGAGTTAGAAAATGTCATTTCACTCTCCTTGATTTTTCTCTTAATGAGTTAGAACATATCATTTCACTTTAAGAGTGAATTGTATTTAATTTGAAGGAAAGTGTGAATTCAGCTCTCATACATATGTGTGAGGGTCCACCAACGTCGTTCGTGTACCCCACCTCTGAACAACCTTGAGGGGAACTATAAATTGCAAGAATATTAACAATAAATTGCAAGAATTGTCTTGAACATATTATACATTTTCAAAATTCCTTTGGAACTTGCTCCTTCAGTTGCATTTTACTGTTTGTTTGTTGTGTAGTTAAGTTAATAAAGACACTAAAGATGCTGATAATATTTTGTGATGCCTCACTGACCGACACCATAATTCAATGCACTACAAGTACATTAAAGCATAACCTCTGCATTACCTAATATTGATTAAATCTAGAGTGTACTTTTAACTTCAGAAAAAAGCAAATTAGAGCAACTTAAATTTCACAAATAAATATACATATATATGTATATATGAACCTTCATGTCCTTTTTTGACACTAAAGTTGTTGCAAGTTCCAAACAAAAACAACACTTTTTAAGCCCCAAATTGAAGTTAGAAAGTGCATGAAACAAACAGTGTCTTGATTTCTAGTGCCCGTCTTTTCATTCATCTAAGTTGGATGCTTTCCATCAATGTAGCACAATGTCTCTTTAACTGATCAAAGAGTCATCCAACATTCCAAGAGAACTAACATTTTCTTCATTTTTAGTATTACTATTATAATTATTTCATTTATTTCTTTTCCTGTGTTGTAACTTCAAAAATCATGTCTAAAGAGCAGGTGAGTTAATAAGAACCGGGATCCCTTCTGTTTGGAGGGGTCCGGTGCACCAAAATTACGTTGTTTTGATGCACAGCATGAAACACAAAGTAGAATGTGGGGAGCCCAACACAGGGATCACATTGAGCTCCGTGCCTGTGCACCAAATGGCCGTTGTTTGGTACACAAGACCCCTTGGGGATAAATCGATATCGTTTGGTGCACAAAACCTATCCATATTCGGGTTAACCTGCTCAGTATCACAAGCATTTTTCTGAAAATAGTGATGGGATAGAATTGCAGGACCTTTATGTTTCAACAGGAAATTCATCTTTTTCCTACTAAATCACAATCCGAATCGAGTTCTCCAAATCATACAATGGCCCAGTGAATAAGAGGACATAAATACAAAACAGGAGAGAATGAATTGTCATGCTTCAGTGGTATGTGACTACATAACCAACATGAGCTCAAATTCCATCTTTTTGATAACAAGAAGCTTTGAAATCCACTAATTCCTATCAAATCTGTACTTAAAAAATAAGCCCAACCCTTCAAATACTTCCCTTTCAATGCCAAGAGACACAAACACCAGAAACAGTGATCTCCGCTGATTGCAACAAATCTAGTTCACAGGTTGAGTGCTGAAACAGGGAAATTGATTGTAACAAAACACCAGACCACCAAAGAATACCCTCTCAAGTGTTGTCTTACCCCACCTGGGACATAGTGGGTGTATGAGTGTGTGTCACACACACACACACACACACAAACAAACAAACACACACAGGCCTTGAACTCCCTTGCACCCTTTTCGTACTGTTGGTGGCCATCCTAACACCGACTAGATTCTATTATACGAAAAATTGCTGTACTAACTGGCAACTATAAGACCTATGTTCAATGTGTATAGGACTTGAGGTGGATAAATCTTGTGAACTATAAAGAAAGATAATGTTATGTAGACCCCATTAGTAGCTTTTCTATAAAAATGAACTTGTAAGCAACTTCATCGAAGGCCGGTTCTTGGCGGCCCATCCTACATTGTCTCCTGTATGTCTCTAAATATTGTGAATGTGAAAACACAGTACTAAAGCATGTAATGTCAAAAGAATAATCTCCCAACATACGAAAATCACTCTAATTTCCCCCACTAAAGCAGGGTGGTACTTTCTCCTTTTAGGAAAAGATCAATCACAGTGAGTGATTTTGATTCAAGTAAGCAAACTTGACATGATTTCGAAACTAATTTAAAAAATTAAAGTGCACCTTTAAAAAAAATAAAAAAATTCAATCTAGTGTTATTGTTCAATGAAATTGCTTCCAAGCTACCCTTAGCAACAAAAGGATAACTGCAATTAAGGTCTCCAAAACACGAAACCGAGAAGGAAAACCAGGCCTATATCTAGGTCACTAAATTGAATACCCTATGAAGAAGCAGCTACTACTCGAGAAGAATCATAAAATTTAGTCATCATATCAATGCCTTAAAATAAAACAGATGAGCAGAACTAATTTTTTTGAAAATGGAGGCATATTCTTTGAACATATTAAAATAGGATGTTAGGATAAACCTTCATATGCAACAAGGACTGCTTGTTAAAGTTGTATAAGCAGAAATGCAGCTGTCACTTCCGAAGCATCCTTGAATCCGGAAAAGGGCAAAAAAAGAGCATATAGTTGAACTGGTTTTCCACCAACCAACGTGTCTGTACAATCGAGCATCTTCATCGAAACCATTAACCAAAATTATATGTCTAATGTAGAGATCGGCCTCAACAACAATCCATACTCCTTGCTGCTTTGGAACTACCATGACATGAATTGGGAAAGCTGATTTGCCTCACTCTATAGGAGCGGGGAGATTAAGATCAAGTAGATCATGAAACTCGGGAAGCTCTTCGTTGATTACTGGGGCCTGATCACTTCTGTCTTCAGAGCTTGTGTTAAAATGAGACCTCTTATGACCGCCTAAAGCTTGGCCCGACTTAAAGACCCTGAAGCAAATTGAGCACTCATGTCCTTTGATTTTCTTTGGGTTAAATCTTCTCTCAGCATTGCAAGACAAATCTTGAGCATTCTTGTTACTACATGACTCATATTTGCTTCTCCTCTGAGCATTCTTGCCTTTTTCGACATTGGAAGAACCATTATTATAAGAACCATTCTGGAACCTCTTTTTCGAATCATAGGTCACCGGATTTGAGGCCTCGCCATATCCTTCTTCCTTGATCAAACCCTTCCTCTTCAGTTCATTTCCCTTAAATTTGAGCCTATTGAAACCCTTACCATCCACTTTAGGCTTCTTGTATTCATCATTCCTTAGAAACCCATCATCAGAAACATCTGATTCTACTTTCTTAGCTCCATTCCTAAAATACCCAGAATCCGAATTCTCAAATTGAACAAGTTCAGCATCCATAGCCCTAAACTTTAACTTCTTACCTTTAAGTTCCATATTTTCCAGAGTCCCATCGCCATTATACACACAGTTCACATAGTCCCTTTTCCCAATTCCCATATCAATAGACGATGATTTAGTCTCCAAAACCACAGAATTGTTGTCTGAAGACTCATTCAAACCACCCCAATTGCCAGAATCCCTAGACAGCATCATCAAACACAAAGCCAACTCTTCTTGCTCCTGCTCAATCTCAGAAACAGATGAAGAACCATTTGCCAAACACACAGAATCAGATTTCACAACAATTCTCTTGTACCTCTTGCTGCTCGTGGTCCTCCTCTTTCGCGGCCTCGGGTTCTCAGCCTCAGTATCCGACTGTCCATCCATTACTACCTTGTGATCCTCATCAATCCATGAAAAATCATCCTTCAAAACCCTCTCTTTCTCAGAGTGGCATGCCATGTGACCACACAGAGCCTTCAAAGACTGAAACCCTTTGCCACATTGTTTGCAAACCCACCTGTCATGGTCCAAAGGGAACACTGAATCCACAGCCTTCCATGTTTTTCTAGGGTTTTCTCTGAGGCCATAACCGGATTGCCCACCAAGCTCAAACCCTCCTGAATCTCTCTCACCACCACCACCACCACCACCACCACCACCATCCAAAGACGACAACTTTTTCATGTTGGGCTCAAATTTTTCCTCTGATTCAGCAGAGTTCACACTCATGCGAGAGTGATGAGACCACCTCATGTGACCCCCCAAGGACTTGGCACATGGACACCTTTTGTTACACAACTTGCAGGCATACCCCAATTCTTGATCTCCTCCTTCCATGTAGTGTATTGGCTTTGATTTGATCACTCAAAAGAAAAGAAACCCAATAGAGAAAACCAGATCAGTGAACCATTTGTGAAGCTCAAAAATGCTACATTTGGTTGATCTCGAACTATCAAAGAGGGACTGAATGGAGGAACACAAGAACACCCAGATCAATGAAGTTGAAGCTTAAGAGGACCAAATCTGGCAAAGGTGGGCTTTTTTTGACACGGATCACGAAGCTGTTTTGGTTTTTTCACAAGCAATCAGAAGAGAATCAGATTGGTCAGATGTGACAGTTTTGCAGAGTACAAAGATCAGAAAAGAAGAAGAGCCTTTGAATTCCATTCCAATGTACTCTAGTCTCTCTTGAATGTTCAAAATTTGAAGAATCTGATGAGAGAAAACAAAAAATCAAACTTTGAACAGATGGGTCCCTAAATAATGCCATGAACAAACCCAAGAAGATAAACTATTGAGACATATACCCATTTTCTCTCTCTTTATATCTCTTGTTTGTGTGTTCTAGTCGGAGGGGAATTCTATGCATGGAAGCAAAAAAATGAGTTATAGAGAGAGAGAGAGAGAGAGGGGGGGGGGGGGGGGGGGGGGGGGTTGCGAGAGAGAGAGAGGGGGGTTAAACAAAGACGGGAAGCACGTGTAGTCGTGAGAGTGTATGTCGTTGATCAAATGGACGGTCAGGATTGTTGGGATATTTTAAGGATCCAAAAGGGTGTGAGATTGAGAAGTACAAAATGTATGCGATATTAGTCATATTATAGTACCAAACCCATCCAAACATATATATATGCCTTCCTTTGTCTTGCTCCAAAGCTCGCACCCATGAAAGGTCCGAATCTTCAGCCGTTATTGTTATCTTCACTTACCCATTTGCCCCCTAATTTATTGACAGCGAGATATTTTTCTCACTTATATATGCTAAGTTTTTGTTTTTATACTCCACTGATATATTAAAATTTGGCAAAAAAAAAGTTACTGCTATTTAATTCGATCTCAATCATCGATATTTCAAGTCGAAACAAACGTAACATAGTGTCACGGACGGAATCCTAAGATGCTTGAAGTAAGGAAGACACGCATACTGGTTGGCGAAGAGTAGAATTTGATTGGAAAGGGACGTGCAGGACCACATGATGGTACCTCTTAAGAATTTAGGCAGGTCGACTCAGACTTGACTATAAAGAAGGGAATTGACCATTCTTGCATAAACTGGTCGGGAGGTAAAGTCGGTTCCTAATAAAGTCAAAGCAGGCCGAAACCAGTCAGCATGTATCCTCAGGATGGCAAGTCTTGATAGCTGACCAGGATGCTTGTGCGAGTTAAAGCAACACCTTAGTATTGTTCAAATCGTACCGCTACGCCAAATCTCTAGGCCCGTGACAATACATCCCTTTGTTTTTGTATACTTAGCAAGCCTTTTATAAAGCTTAATGATGCAATGGGGCTTTAATGGGTTTTTATACACAACGTCGAGCTGTTTGCAGTTCGGAAAGTGCATTGTTGTAAATAGATTGAAAAGGCCAACCAAGTTTAGATCCAGGGGCTTTGGCTATACTTACGATATAGTTTTTATAAATACTTGCTGTATTAGTTATGTATCACCATTTCAACAGAAATACTAACATTTGAATAAAATAGTTGCACAAAATTAATATTTTGAAATTGAAATTGAAATAAAAATAAAGTTAGTTCAACCCTTACAAATTAAACATGCTCAGCAACTCAAGTCCCATAAGAAATTTTATCTTTTAGAACATAGGTAAGGGATTCATTGCACTGTGCAACGAGCACATTCAATCATTTATTATCACGCATATAATATACGCGTCTGTTCATATATTATACGAACGGTCTGAATGTGTCCGTTGTACAATGCAAAGTGCGCAATCAAATTTTTCTCACACGACAACTAGGCTGGTGTGAACATGGAAAAAAATTATACAGAAAAAAATTACTTCTTTAGCTTACATTGAGGTTTTAATGACTTGAAAAGATGTGAAAATTTTGTAAGGATTTGTGTATTTACAATTTTTTTTTTTTTTGTGTCATGATATGTTTTTAATATATTGCACCATCATCATTTGAGCGATTTAAAGGAAATGAGAACATCATGACAATAAGAATAAAAGGTTTAAAATGAATCATATACCATATATGCTAAGATCTTGTAGCATGATCTCTTCTTATGGTGGAATAGTTTTACATCCAAAGAAAAAATATACTTTATTATTTAGAGGAAATTCTCATAAATACACATTATTTTTTTTTTTCTTTTTTCCTACAATGATGGCATTGTATCTCTTAAAACGTCCCATAATCTAAAATACTATAAAATTTTCCATGGATTTCATATCCTCTCTTATTTTAGAGCGAAACAAAATACTACACTAGTATATTGCGTTTGGGATACCAAACACTTGCTTTCATTGGCTAAGTCAAACTAGCTGTATTGATCTGCTTGTCTCACATCCATTGTTTCTTTCTTGGTTAAGCTTCTTTTTGTCCTTGTTTAATATATAAATCCAGGATCAAAGTTAAATGATAAGTGTGCATGTATAATCAATGGATTGAATTTTAAACTCCTCTTTAATCTTCTTTAAAAAAAAAAAAAATCAAAATCCATGTCACTCCTTTCATAATGAATACACAAGGATAATATCAAGGACAATTGAAAAAAAAATAAAAATAAAAAAATACTAAGGCTTTATTTGTTTGGATATAAAATATTTTTATATTTTCTGATGTTTGGTTGTCGTAAAAAATTTACGAAGAAAAAAAAAAATCTCGTATCTATTAATTTTTGACAAGTTATTTTATATGTTTTATCTAATGGACTCAGACCTAAACTTTTATCAAACATCTAAATATATATATATATATATATTACCTAAAAAAAAGAATCATCGAAATTTCAATAGTGTCACCACTGCCCACAGTTCCTTCCTTTCTATGGGTTAGTTTGGATGTAGCTGACCAGACTACTCAAACAAAATTTGAGTAATCATCTTTGTGCTTGACTCAGATGTCCCTACCTAACTTATAAACTAATTAATTAAAATTAGTAAAAGACTTTGCAGATAAGGAAAAAAAAAAAATCATATTATTAATTATGCAGACATCAACCTCTGCTTTACTCAATTCTAAATGTATAACTATGAGATGGAACTAGTGTGACAGACCTAATTAAACTCAAATAGTTTTAACTGGTACTAATTCATGATTAATATCATGACAACATTACTCACTACTTATATATATATATATATACATGGTAAAAAATTTGTTCAACACATATCAAAATAGGAGCCTTTTCTTCATTAGTAAGAGAAGCATGTTCAAGAGTGCAAACATGAAAAGAAAAAAAATAAAAAATTAGGATGAACATATATTATAATTTAGACTTCCTAACACCGATGATACTATAATATAATACATAATAATATTATACTACTACGTGGTTAACAGATTATATCTTGTTACATAAATAAAGGAGGTGCAAGTATCCACAAACTGGAGAGAATATGTACGATTTGTGCAACTCAGGAAGCATCTAAACTTCCAAAGAGATACTACTGAGATTACTTTGAATACAAACCAACAAAATTATTGAAATTATTGTTGTGTACACTAAAAAATTGGAACAACTTGTGAAGCCCATACTTCCATTCTTGCCCTCACCAATGATGAAAGAATGTCCAGGATAAATACTGTGAAAAAGAATGCATCATCTTTGAAGCCACTACCCAAAATTTCTATCATTTCTCGAGTTGCAGTTCTAAGTGCACGGTCGAAATATTTATTTCATCATGGAACGAAAACAATGGATACCTGGCATCCGAGAAGTTCAGGATCCAATCAATCGCCGTGGCCAAACAAACATTTCTCGTAATCGTTGTTGACCCCCCTTTCTTGTATAGCACCTTCGACATCACCTGAACAGCAGGACTTAACCGTACTAGGGTGACGCTCAAAAGACACACATGGGACGTGTAGAACTTCGTTATCATCCCCCACACTGTCCGTATGATGAAATGCTAAATCAAACCTGGAGTCGTCAAGTGTCCTACAACTTTGTTCTTTCAGCGTAGGAATTCTACCATCATCTCCCATGACAGTATCACCAGCACAATTATTGCCATTGTTCCCGGTGCTGTCATCACTGTCACCACCATTATCATGATCATCATCATCATCAAGGTAATCATCCTCCTCATCCACCCTAAAATCTTGATAAACAAAAGACTTGATTGCAGTGTCCTCGTATGCTTCTGGAACTCCGAAGAGGTGCCCATCGGTCCCCTGCCACTCATCATCATCACTGTCTATATCCATTGCCCTAGATCTGTTCTGAGCAGCCCGCTTCCGAAGCATAAAGACATTGAAATAATAGCTAACAAGTTCCCTTTTGGTTCGAGATGGAAACATCGCAGATAGGAGCTTCCAAAAATTCCGACCAAGTGAGAAAGGATTAGAGTAAATGACCTCATGAAACAACTCTTCTTCTTCGTCGGTCCATTTTTGTGCTACCTCCTCCCCCGTGTCATACAACCCCAGTTCCACAAATTTCTCATGCCCAAGGGTTTCTCTCATTCGTTCTCGCGCTTCCATGACATGCTGTCGTATGCATCTGACAGAGCCTGCATCCAGGCAGCAACAATCTATTCTGCCATCTCCAGCCTTTAAACCACCATGAGCATGTAATTTGAAGTCTGGAAATGGAATGACACAAGTCCCCATTATGTCCTTCCCACGGTCATCGTCAGTTATGTGATCAGAAACCAAAGAATGTTTCTCGGTTACCTGCAAGTCCCAGACAGGAACCTCAGCTTGATGATTTGGTCCAAGAGGAACTTGTTTTGTAGGAGAACAATCTAAGAGAGATGAATGTGTATCTTTACACTTCACTAATGATCTCCTTGAAAAGTTGGAGTCAAAATACTCTGGAGATGGACCCGAGCATACCACTGCCCCAGAACCAGCATTTTCCTCACTAGTACTGCTGGTGATCCATGAAAAAGGATCACTAATCTCAAACTCAGCGTCAGCAATATTTGAAACCATATTCGCATTGTCATTTTCAAGTTCATCCCACAATCCAAATTTATAGAACTGTTCCTCACCTTCACCTAATTCACATAAAAATTAGATCATCAAATCAACTTGTGAATAGCTTAGTGAACTCAGCCTCAATTATTTTACAACTAAATACGCCAAAAAAGTAAATTAATAAGAAAATATAGTTTGGTCAGGTGTAGTGCATGCCATATGTACAACATGGAGTCAGGATCCGGTGCGGTAACAACACATTGCAGTACCGCACCAGACTGTTATGATTGCTTACACGTGTGGGGCACCACACATGTGAGCAATCGCAGCCGTACACACTGTGAATTGCAAAGCAAAAGTAAAAAATGATGAGATGACAACATATAAATCCATCATTAGGTCAACTGGAAACTGTTCTTCGATTTACTTGATCAATGTGAGTCACATTACTTTATGATTTTAGAGGATGATTGTTGATATTTGGATGGGGATGGAGATTTTTTTTTTTATTTTTTTATACCTAATTTATACAAGTTCGAGCATATTAGAAGCATGTTATAAGTAATGAAATATACAATTAAAATGAGAAAGTTCATTCTTATCTTTTATTGACAAAGAGTCATTATTAAACTCTGCATTCTAAATTGTAACAGAAATGGATCAATTTTTATTTCACTAAATTGGGGCTCTGACAAATGAGAGGGACATTCGCTTTGTGTGGTATGCTATAATTTGTGCGTTGTGTGCTTTGCTATGTATGGATATTATTAGAAGACTAACAAAATATTCTATCTCCTCGTGAGTACAGGTTCAGCCATAGTAGGCAGAATCCTCCAGATTCCATGTCTCTATTTTCTTATTCTAACTCTTCATGCCTCCACTCATATAAGGATAAGATCCGTACCAAAAAAAAAAAAAAAAAATTCAAACTACAAACATCAAAAAAATAATGGAACAAATGAGATAATTTCTTACCTGGGATATCAGTTTTCTGAGGGGCTTGAGGAAAAGGAAAAATGTCAGTGTATGAAATCAGCTTAAGCCCACGGTCATATTGTCTTGCGTGCTTAAATGGAGCCTCCTGAAATGCCTCCTCATCAAAGGGTCGCTTGAATCCCATATTGGCCTGGAACAATTAAGAGACTAAAAGGCCATTAAGCAGTGTTTTGTCTCCTTCAAACAAGGTCATGGCAAACTAGGTAAAAGCCTAACCTTTGAAATTCTTTTGATTGTCGAAAAATAAAAATAAAAAAAAAGGTTTTGACATTATTTGGTTGAATGTTAATATAGTATTAGTTATTGAAGTAAAAACCAACTTCCCAAAGAAAATAGAAGCTATTTGCAGTACGTTAAGAGCAGAAATGGTTTTAGCAGCCAACACTAATTTTTACATATTATAAGTGCATACTTCCAGCTGTCAAGACACAATTCCACAAAATGTCGAACCATAGCTCCTTTAGTTTGTGTTTAAAAACCTACCAACATTTATCTATGTTTTTTTATTCTACCACATCCAAAAAAAAACAATATAATAATAACCCACAATAATAATAACCCACAAATTTTCTTGTTACAAGTAAATAATAGAAAATTCTCATATCATATTAATAGAAAACAATATAATTTTTTTACATAGGCATTTACTTAGAATTTTACCGGCCTAGTCCCTGAATAGAAGGCATGGTCTGTGCATTTGGACTACATGTGGGCATTGCAGGTATAGTTTCTTAATAATTGAAACAAAAACAGCATGAGAATCAATTTTGACATTTTGTGATATAGATATCTAGTACTCTTTTTATATTTTTTAAGTTTGATATATTATTTTTATATTTTTTAAATTGATTTATTATTTATTTATTTGGGTTGGAAGGAAGGTAATAAAGCTAAAGTTAATTGTAATTAACAAATATTCCTTTTGCTTATATTTTTGTAAATTAATCAATTAAATAACGGTCAAAGATATTATTTTGTTTTTTTTTTTTTTTTAATTTAATGAAAAAAATAATTTGAGTCAATCATCAAATCTATACATAATTCAACAAAATTTTCCATCAAAACAAGCAGGAAATAGCGATTCACAAAGAGGCTTACCTCAGCCCTCAAGCAATTAACAGATCGAACACGCCCTAAAAAAGCGGACACTTCGAAACCCTAAATTTCTAATCGGGTCGTGAAGATCGACAAAATTAGGCCCAGATTTAGAGGGAAAAGAACAGAGATTGAAGATCGATTGATGCGAAACAAAGGATCAAGAGATCGGAGGGTTAGATACTTTCGATGAAGGAGATTGAAAACCCTAACCCTAGAATTACGAAGATTGGACGGCTGAGCTCAAAAGAACGATCAATTGGTAGAGAATAACGAGATTTTTTCGAATCTATGATTTATTAGAAGATCAAAAGAACAAATCGAAGATGAAACGAAGCTGATTTGTGAGAGATTAGTATTTACAGAACGAGGAGGGCTATAGGGTTCGTGTCGTGTTTTTGTAGACGACGCAGAGTCCGAAGACTGAACCCGGTTCGCGTAACGCACACGTGGATCATTACCAAAAGTAGCGTGCGGGCACGTGCAACTAAAAAAAAGCACCGCGCATTAAAATCGAGGAAAAGCATAAAATCATGTTTGGATTGAGGGAATTGAAAGGAAAAATAAAAAATAAAATCGAGGGAAACATAAGGGCCTGTTTGTTATGTGTTTTACTTTGGTGTTTTTATTGCAGTGCTCAATTTCAGGCCCAAAAACATGTTTGGTAGCCCCTTGTTATGTTTTAAACAGTACAAAAATATTGTTTTAAACAGTACACAATTTTGGCCCAAAACTGAAACACCGAAATGGTGTTTTTGTTGTTTCTGAACTGTAGCCTAATAAAAAGAACTGTAGCGCTTGAAGTAAGTTGGGTCTTGAACTGTAGCGGAGGAAGTAACTTTAAAACGTCGTCTGCAACACTTTGGCCCGATCTTTTCTCTCTTCTCTGAAACCTAGAAAAGGCGATTTGGGAAGCGAAAGGGAATCTGAAACCCTAGAGAAGGCGATTTGGGAGGCGAAGGGGAATCGCAAGCACGAAGTCTTTGAAAAGCACAAAATCGGAAGCACGAACTGTGGTGAGTACTCTTTCTTCTATTTTTATCCTCTTTAAACACTCTGTCTTCGATTTAGTTGTGAAACAAGAAGACTGTGCTTCTCATGTAAGAGTGTTTGACACAGTCAATGTTAGAAAAACTGGTTAACTCTTGCTTGTTCAATTTGAATCAAAGACAATTAATTTGGGATTTTCAGCAAAATTGATGAACAGAAATGAAGCTAAAATCGAACATACGTGTGGAATTTCCAAATATGTGATGAACAATGAAAAGGGTAAACAATTGCTCAAGCAATTATAGGCTTCATTCAGAATAAAATTCTGTTGTGTACCCATCTTAGGATACACTAATTTGCAATCTACTAGAGCTAGCAGGAAAACTAATTTTTTATTTTTTAATCTACTCTTCTCAGCTCAACTAATTCTTCTTTGGAGTCAGTTATGTTTTTATCATTATTCTTTGTTCCACATGTGTCCTAAATATTTCAACCCATATTAATTATGGGTTTTTACCAGTAGCACTACCTTCAATGTGGATTGTGCCACTCTTCCTAATTGGTGCACTAAGGGGTCTTTACCGTACATGTTTAAAACCATCATAATTGGTTTCACTAATTTTATCTCTGATTTGCTCTACTTGTACCACCTCAAGAATGTGTTTCTGTCTAAATCAACATTAGTATTTGGATTATGCTCATTTTATGATCACATTGTTTCTTAACTACCTAACACTTGGGTCCGTAGAAAGCATGACTGGTCTTATTATTTTCAACTTTATGGGTATAAGTTGGTTACAAAGCACACCAAAAGCACTCCACGTTGCTCATAGCGTCTTAACTTCATTAGCAACATTCTCCCTCTAGTTTTGTATGATCAAACTTTGGTAGTAAAAATTGTTCCCTTTTTGGTTCTTTCTTGCTCTTCAATCTCACTATTTTCCCCTTGTATTTTGCTAGAAATTACACATCACACACTCAATTTAGTCCAACTTTTATTGATGTCTCTTGATTTCAGAGCTTCACTCAGGACTTCTAATTTGGCATTTGCCTTATTCTAATCTTATCAGTTAAAAACAATATCACTGAAAAAAAGCACACATTTGAACCTTATATTGGATCCGTCACACACTCAATTTTGTCCAACTTGTATTGGTTCCTCTTGATTTCAGAGCTTCTCTCAGGACTTCTACTTTGGCATTTACCTTATTCTAGTCTTATCAGTTAAAAACAATATCACTGAAAAAAAGCACACATTAGAACCTTATATTGGATCCGTCCATTTCATTCATTAACAAATATGTGAAAATGATAAAAATATAATGCTAATCTTTATGTAAACCATAGTGAGTGAGAATTTACTCGACTCTCGTGTAGTTGTTCTTACTATACTAATCCATCATAAATATCTTACATCATGTGAATATATTTAATTGCAACACTGACCCTCCTCCCCCCAAACTACATAATATCTCAAGGAATCTTAGAATAGCCTTTCTCTGAGTCTTAAAACAGTGTATGGGGATCATTGTATTCTCTTTACACCTTTCTATTAATCTTCTGTTTGTATTGAAATTTTAAATCCTGTAGCCAAGCTAGTATTTTACCACTGTTTGTTTCATGTCTAATTCATTACTCGATAAACATCTCCCTAAGACTCATTTGTTTAATACAGTGCAGATTTTTATATCTACTTTTTATTTATTATTATTTTTTATATGAGTCCTGAAATACTCTTTTATCACACATCAGATATTTTCTTATAATGTTGCTTTCTTTTTGATAAGTAGGATAAAAATTCTATGAAAACAAAAATCCTAGAATGATAGGAATCTACAAATAAAGCTATCTCCTCATTAAGCTGGTAGAATAACGAAAGCACAATTCTTTTGAAAAAAAAAATTATATAATGATTGGAACTTCATCTAGTGATTCAAAAACTCCTTAGGATCCCTTGAATGGAACATCCTTTCCAACTGACCAGCATGTCATCACCAATTCCTCGCTTAGTCTATACTAATTCCAAACAAGATGAGTAGGACCATTCTTTCTTACACATACAACACCAATCACTAATGACTTAGATCGCTCTTTCTTGAATATCAATTGACAAGATGGCTTCTAACGTTGTTTTGTGTGCAAAGAAAGCTACGTTTAAGGGTGCCTTTGTTCCCATATTACTTTCAAAGGAAAGGACTGCTTGTTACCACTAGAGAGCCTATGGTACATTTTCAAAATAAATTCTTGTTCCAAGCACCATCCACCTAATGGAGTATTCTCCCTCCAAATAACTAACTAATGCAATCAGCTATGAAAGAAAACAAATAAATCTGAAGAAGGGAAAACAGAGAGCTAATTCAAGCTAGAAAATAGCTTAAACACCCATAACTCAATCCCAAAGAAAGGGAGAGGTAAAAGGCTGCTACAGAAGACTGAAAATATTGATAATACGTCAAAAAGCTGCTGAATACAACTTGGAACAACCTTTTATAAGACACAAGAGATGCCTAAGCAAGGAATTAATCCTAGCCCTTCGTATAAATATAATCTAATAGCTAGAATTCTATCTAGCAAAATAAAGACGCTAAAATGACAAAATAGTGCTTAAGTGGTCACATGACTCGCTTAAAAAGGCACATGACTCGCTTAAAAAGGTACATGACTTATAAAATAAAAACTAAAATGACAATAGTATCCTAAACATGAAATAAAGACAGACTTAAGACTTATATAAATGACTCTAGACCAATAAACAATCACACAATCTGATCACATCATCAGCTGCCCTTATTAATGGAAACACATCATAGTCTTCTTGGATCTTTAACTGTTTGAAGAAAGTCCTCTTCCATTTGCTATTGACAGAAATGTGCACATATGGATGTGGTAAATGGTGAACATAGAAATGTGAGATTAGTTATAATGCCAAAATGTGGCGTGCAGATTAGTGAGCGTACCTACTTGTGCTAGGAACAAACCTTTTTACTCGGAAGAATCTCAGTCAATTCGTTGGAAGGGGAAACATCCTTTAAGTTTCCTATGAAGTGGAAATTGACTGTCGTAATATTACTCTCACTAGGTGTCTTGTTCCTTAGAAACATCCAATTGATTCCTATGCAATGAAGGAAAAGAGTTTGAACAGACTTGTACTCCCTAACCTTTACATACAAATTTTAACATGTACAAATGATTATATTGTGGGTAATAGTGTCTGTGGTAGAATAACAGACTTGTTTTTGACTTGGACAAAGTTACTTTTCTTCTATTAGAAAGAGGTTCTTTGAAATGTCAATTTCATTCTTTTGTTTGACCTATATTTCATAAAATGGTTGAATGCAACACACATAATTTATATAATTCCCTGTAGTTTGGAAGAACATATTATTTTGGGAAATACCAATCTCCAAAGAAAGCAGAGGCCTCTGTGGTTTAACCTATCAATTGATCATTCTTTAATACTCTTCAGCACTCTTGATCCTTCTAAAGGTGATGGTATATTTTTTCTTTTATATGTAATATATTTGTTGCTATTGTGAGCTTGCAATATATATATGTAATATAAATATTTTTTGCAGATATATAATTCAACTTAAATGCTATTATTGCAGATATGAAGTGTGTTGATGCTCTCTTGAAGGCCACATGTGCTGTTATGAAGATGATGTGTCGTTGCCATTGTTATCCACTTTATGAACTTCGTATTAATTTTTAGTGACAACTACGTATTGTTAATGCTTTGTTCCAAACATTTTATGTACAACTTAAACGTGTTTAATTTGTTGGTTGAATATTTCAGGACTTGTAAATGTTATACACTCTATTTCAATTATGCTTTCAATTGAGTTTGTTTTTATTTTAATGTTGTGTTGGACTATACAGGTATCAAGATAATAAAATTGAAGCAGGTTATTGCAAAGAACTTGTAAATAGGTTATTGCAAATTTTTTTTACAAATGTTGACTCTTATGTAGTATAATAAAATGTGATTAGAGATTATTTATTTTTAATATTGAGTTGGACTATACAGGTATAATGATAATAAAATTGAAGCAGGTTATTGCAAAGAACTTGTAAATAGGTTATTGCTAATTTTTTTACAAATGTTGACTCTCATGTAGTATAGTAAAATGTGACTAGAGATTATTTATTTTTAATATTGAATTGGACTATACAGGTATAATGATAATAAATTTGAAGTAGGTTATTGTAAATAACTTGTAAATAGGTTATTGCAAAAATTAATATATATATAATTTGGTGGGGGTTTACATTTTTTTACAAAAGAGAAGGCAAGAATCTGTATTTTGGAGTTAAATTCCCACCAGTGCAGACTTACAAGAGTCGAAAATTATTATCAGAACTGTGTAGTATTTTTTTTTCTTCTTTCGCTAATGCGAAAAATGAATGAAATACAAACCTATGGACAATCATCACCAAAGGAA